AATGTATAGAATGCTTGAAACTTTAAAATGTAAGGTGGATCCAACCTTTTGCAAAGTTTTCTTTTACTGCTTTCATGAGGCCGCTTTTTCTAACTAGATTGGATGGCATATCCGGTTCCAGTCCAAGTCCCTGTGCAGGATGCATCCATTGAAGTGCTAAGTTGAAGTTTGACTGTTAGGATGCTAGGCCATTACGCTGCACCCTAAAACATGCAGTGATGTTGAAGCATACTTACACCAACAGGGCTTACGTCATGATGTTGTCTAGGGACTTTGTCTTTATGTTACTCCTTTCCTCTCTAGAGAGCCTGTTTGCAGCAGAGAAACTGCACTCCGGGTCGGCGTTGCTAGCTTAGGGGATGAGAATGCATTTACTGGCCCAAAAACAATCTTTTGCCGTAGTTATAAAGGACGGCAAATATAGTACCTGCTGGATCTCATCCGGAATATGCAGATCCTTGCTGTACTGTAGCAGGGTTTGATAAAAGGATAAACTATCTGAATGTTTTCTGAAGTTGGAATCCCACTTTGAAAATCTTTGAACTGACGTAGATATAGTATCATAGAAGCGAATCATGCTATCTTCGAGGTTAGAGATGTTACGGAACTGACGAAGTGCTTCAATGGAGTCTAAAATTTGCTGTTGACGAAGATTTGGGTTAAGTGTGTCGGCTTCCATAATAAAATAACTCGGGTGTCCTGTGATGAAGAAGTTTGCGTTTGTCGGTACATAGTCCACAAAACCATTTTCGAAATTTCCGTTAATTCAATCATATCCAGTATAATGTGCTTATCCAGTGCTAGTGGATCAATATGATTAAATTCATGAGGCTTATTTACGAGCTGGGCATCTAATGCCTGCTTCATTTCGTTGTAGAAAAGTGTATTGCAAGGATATAGAGCATCGTTTGGCACAGCATTCGTCAGCTTCTTCAAGTCTTCCTCGAACTTTTCCGTTTCCATCAGATCTCTGTACAGCCCGAATTTGCGGCGCAAGTTTTCGTCACAAGCCACTGTTCCGACTGCCTCCTCGGTGGTGGAGGAATTTCTTCAACAAGCGTTCTTAAAATAAAAAGCAAAGGTTCCATCTTGTCCATGCTAAATCAGTGGCAATGATGATGACGATGACGATGCGTTAGTACAGTGACTGTGTTGGTATTGGAAATCTTCGCGAGTGTCGTTTTGTGCTGCCGTTTGCACAGCGGATTGTGTTTAAAAAATTTATTTGAATGAGAGATGCAATGCAGAAGAGAAGATATTTCGTTTCGCTGTACAAGCTGTATAAACAAGTTGACGAAAGCACTGTTGAAATCCTGCAAAATTCAAGTTCAATGGTACGAAATTGCAGATACCGTATGCCTACCGTAACCTATCGTACCCCTAATCAAATATAATTATCGTAATCAGCATGTCGAATAACCCCTATGCGCCAAGTTT